ACTGAGCCAGAAGAGTTTATCAAATTTTCTTTATGGCTAGGGTCACTCAGCTATATAAGCCTAATGATGCCAGTTGTAACTCATCTCCATACATGTCAGTTCTTGAATCGATAGAGCCCTTTTCTCAAAGCAATATTGTAGACATTGACATTTTAATCTTTGGGATCCCTGAAACTCACTCTACTAAATCAAGTTGGTTATGTTAAAATAAGAATTTAGATAAAAATACGATATGATATCACATCAAATAAATTGTCTTGGTTCCAGACCCTGGTTTTTCATCCTTTTCACTAAATTGACTTCTGCTCCTACTTGCTCTCACCATTATCAGTTGATCAGATTTTGAATCAGCTCCCAGTAGTACAATTCTTCTGAGTTCTTGGTAGAAACTCACTACAGCCTCTTGGGCTGACAGCGACAGGAATGTAAGCTGATGAGACAATTACTTCCTAAGTTGAATTGGAATCTTTCAAATCCAGGCATTTGTCATCTTAATGCAGGTGGCAGGCCAGTGAATGATGCTTATGCGTTAAAGAATGAATATAATACTGGATGTCTTCATCTGTTTTTTGCTACTATAATAGAATTCCTGACTGTGGGTAATTTTTAAAGAAAAGACTTTATTTCTTACAGTTGTGGAGTTTGGGGAGTCTAATATAAAGGAGTTGTCATCTGGTGAGAGCCTTTTTGATCATCCCATTGTAGATGGCAAAAGGGTGAGACAGGGCCAAAATCACTTTTAGGAGAGCAGTGTAGGTAGACCACTTATGGCATAATTACCTTATTAGGTCCCATTTCTCAACACTTTTGAATTAGCAATTATGTTTTTAATATATAAATTTGTTCAAACCACTGGTAAAGAGAGTGGTTAAGTTTTTGCTTTGGTAGAACTGTCAAATCTGACAAGCCATTGCCTGGGATTGCAGTGACGAAAGATGAGATGACATCAGTGGATACTAAGGAAGCTTGTCAGTCTCTCTTCATTTCCTGACTGCTGAAGTTTTCAAAGTCTAGAACAAAAAAAATAGATGATAAGTCTGTTGTTCTACAAAAGACTATAACAAAAAAAAAATGGATAAGTCTTGTTCAAGTCAGAATAACCATTTTTAAGTATTTTATGATAGTAGTGGTTCAGGAGTGAGAAAAATGGGATGAGGTGCTTTAACCTAACACTTATGATGATTTTTATATTCATAGATTTATGAGACAGTTATAAAATAAGTTGCTACACAGTCTGAGTCGAGTCATATCTGTTTGTTTTAATCTGCCTGCTAGATGTTCTTGGGTTTCTGCAGTAGAAAAACAAGTTTACCTCATTTCCAGCCTTTATTTATATTCTGATTAGTGGAACATACAAGTAATAAAATGTATGCAGTAAAAATGAAATATGCAATCAAACTACACTTTTTTGTGAATTATTGGTTATCAAGGGACCTAGAAGTGCTGGAAGAGAATGGAAGGTCAGCAATCTGAATCTGGGTAGAAACTATAGTTTTCTTTTCTCCATTTTAACTGTGTCTGTGTTTCTTTCCACTTCAGTACAATTCCATATTTCTTTGTGTGTGTGTGTTTGTGTGTGTGTGTGTGTGTGTAGTACTGGGGCTTGAACTCAAGGCCTTCACCTTGAGCCACTCTACCAGTTCTATTTTTATGAACAGTTTTTCAAGATAGGGTCTCATGAACTATTTTCCCTGGCTGGCTTCAAACCATGATCCTCCTGATGTCTGCCCCCTGAGTAGCTAAGATTACAGGCATGAGCCACAGGTGCCAAGCTTTTTCTGCTATATTGTCCTTTGACCCTTCCTACCTTTTTCTAAGTATTATATGATGATATGAAAATTAGTAAAAACTTCAATTCCTTTATATGATAGCATCTTTATCCTGTAAGGAGTTTAATAAAGAAAATGATACCTTACCAAGTTTTCCTCTGGGTTAGCACCATTGCCAAGTCTCTCATCATGACAGATACAACATATTCCTACACAGAAAAAAAGAGAACAAAAAAATTCTCTTTGCAAAAATTCAAATGCTCTCTTTTTCCTATCTCAATGTAATTATGTTATGAGAATCACCTTAGTTATTTCCCTTTTCAGATCTTTATTCCAACAAGCAACATTAAAAATGCATTCACTATACAAACATGGCATCAGAAACAGCAATGAATTCTTAGGATTGATTCAGGTTCAATAAACACAGGCCGCAGATCCACAACATTTTTCTCTCTAGAGTTGTTGACAAGGTTTCCACCAGCCACTAACAATGGGAAAGTCGTGGCTAGGGAGGGGCTGAGAGTGGCGGTGAGGGAACAAAGGACAGAATGCCATTTCTCAAGGGAAGTTTTCTTTCTGGCCTTGTAAAATCTTACCCTTTTATACATATCTTAGACAGACGGCACTTTAAATAATAGAAAAAAGGAATCCAAAAACAAAAGTTACGAGCCACAGGGTATGAAACTATAGCCAGGGACCGGGAGGTAGACTAAGCTAGGTTTTGTGGGATTTAGTATAATAGCACCAAATATATTTTCAGCCCACCTAACTGCAGAACCATAGAACACTATTTTTTTTTTTAATTTTATTAACTGGCCAAAATCCTGACATAGTTTCTGCTCAGGTCTTCTAACTGCTCTTCAGGAACCAGACTGGATTGGTTCCATCAGCACAGCATCTGTTCCTTCTACTTGAGTTGGAGATTAGAGAGAAGGAAGAGTTAAATCAGGTATTCATTCTCCCAACTCCTTTCCTGTAAGGTTGCCTTGGTCTGGCTGTGTCCTTTCACTGAAGGTCTCCAACAAGGCAGTGATATTTTCATTATGTGTCCTTCCAGTTTTGGGAACTGCTTCCTTTCCTGTCACCTCAAGTGTAGGTTTGCTTGTGATTCAAGTATGGGTAACTCTAGGAGAATACATTTTCCTCTGTGCTTTGTTTATACAGTTTTGATTGTTTCACATGTTTCATGTTGGGACCTGACTTAGGCAGACTCCCAATGTAAAAACTCATTCTTGAGCAGTATATGGCACCCCTCTTTTAACCTAGTCTAATTCCAAGCATCAATACATTAGGTCAGGGGCTATGTTTGGGGACAAGCCAGACTACCTAGGACCTTCCATCTCTTTCTGTTTCTGACCAATTGAGGGATAGGAGTAATAAGTAAGGGGACCAGCCTGCCTATTAGTACAAATGGTCACAGGGTCAGAATGGGTGAACTCTTCTTCCTTGTCACTGTTAAAATTTTATTCTCAGTAATGGGTTCTCTGTAACCCAAATTACCTAACTTCAGTGGGGGGCAACAGGCAAATATAAACCCAAGGAACACATGGAAAGGACATGGGATCGATCACAACCTCTCTGAAAACCCAGGATCTTTGCAGGGGAGTGAGAAATGAGGGAGAGTTTCTGGGGGTCTAGGGTGCTGAGATGTGAGATGGTCACATAAACCTGCTGTACATGTCTATTTGGCACTTGAGCAAAATTCCTGGATTTTATTTAATTTTGAAAGAAGTATTTTGAAAAAATTCTATTTCTTGGAATGTGGAAATCAAATATGGAGATAATTCAGATTTCAGTTTTGTCCATATTCCTTCCAGCTAAGAATGTATTCACTAATGTAAAGTATTTTAAGGAGTCTTGTGACCATAGCATCTTCAGTTATTTTAAATTACTATAAGGAATATAAGTTTGTTATATAAAATTTAGAAAAATTTTTCCAATAAGTAAAATAAAACAGTCCATAAGGATATTGCAGTTTGGAAAGCACTGACCATAAAATAAGCTCAGAGTAGGAGACAATGAAGCCCAGGAACTGAAAGAAATACCTAGGTGAGGTGTGAGGATGGGGGAACCAATGGCCTAATTGCTACAAAGACAACTTTTCAAAGATTTCTCTTATTCCCTTCCAGTTATTTTTCAGTTCAGGGTGATTAGATTATTCTGTTTATAATTTAAGCCAAATTAATTTATTTGAGAAAAGACACCAGTGATTTTCAATTAATTAAACTAATTCCTCTATTAGTGATTGAAAATAGTAGGTAAACTGGAAATGACTACAGTGAAATGCTTTGTATATATTTTGATGTGCCTCTGATCATTTGCTCAAGATAAATTTTTAGAAGTAGCATAGTTAGGAGAAAATGCAGGAACATTTTCAGGATTTTGAGAAATTTTACAAGTGATTCTAACATCCATTTACATATATAGCAGCAGCATAGGTGTGTGTTTCTATATTATCTTTAATACACAAGACATGGAACTCCCAAGGGTAGAGCCAAATTCTCCATATTACCTCTGCTGACATTGGAGCATCTTTGTGATATACATATAATAGACAAAATCAGTAAAAGCAAAATTGAAACAGTTGAAACAATTATTATCCAAAGAGCTATTCCATGTCGTAGTCCTAAATAAAACAAAGAAACAAAGTCTGTGAATTGAAGGAAAATTTACCAAATAAGAAAAGAAAAATTGTAGGTAGGTGGGTAGGTGTAAAGGATGTTTACTATTTTTAAATCTAGTTATTTCTGCATGCCAGACAGGAGGCAGAATTCATATGAAAACACTTCATGTAATGCAAAAGCCGTTTAAAACAAAGCCAAGAGTCTAGACTGGATGGGAGAGTTTTCTGTAAGCATAAATTTCCCCCATTCTCAGTGTCTATGTTATGGAGAACCTATAGACACTGTGCTATTAACCAGTCTGGGACTTAGTCAAGCTGGCATTCAGTTGAGAAGAGTCTAAAAACTTGAAAGACAATGAGTATATTCTGGATTTTAAGTTTCTATTATTTTTATTGTAATAAGAGGATTAACATATTTTTAGAAATGAAAAATTGGATCTATGAATTAATCTCAGCCAAGTATAGGGAAAACTTGCAGTCCAGTAGTGACTTAAACCATGAAGGAAAAGTGCACTCTACCAGTGGTTTGTCCTAGGGGAACAGGGATAAGTTCAAGGTGATACTAGAAACAACAGGTGATCACTGGGTTAATAGTGCTTGGAGCTCCCTCAGGAAAAACCAGAGGAGCCTGAACTTCTCACATCTTGGTCTGGACTAGAATTGTAATTAGTGTTAAAGGAAGTAGGGATTCCTGAAGGCAGAAATGCAGAAATGTTAGATTACCAAAGTCAGACTCTGATAATCTTGTGATCAATATTCTATCATGCAGTAAGAATTATTAGAGCACAAAGGCTAATTCAGAGTGGAACATGGTTATGAGTTATTCTTTAAAATGAATATCTATTTACATAACAGACATCAGTTTGTATGAACATACTGTTATTAATTAATAAATTAATGACTCCTATTTGTGTCATTGTGAAATTCTACTCTCTTTTAAAGAAGGAGAGATTAAGTAGAGATGTTAGAGTGACTTTCTAAAGTGTTTCCATAAACATTTTTCCCTCCTGAAGAAAATACTGCATGGTCTTGCTTCTTCTTATTTTATCTGTGACCCTCAATTCCTAAAACAGTAAGGAGATACCCTCAAAATGCATATTAATTCAGTGACAAAATTTAGAAAGGATTATTAAACCATTTACTTCAATGCAACTATTATTGAGAAAAATCTAAACTAGCAATCCTAAGCACCCCCAGACTGGGCTTCCTTTTCATATGCTGTGGTATCTCCCAGCAAGGCAAAAAATGGAAAATTGCAATTTAGAATAGAAAACTAAGTTTCCTTGAAAGGCTAATGTGTGTGGTACCACAACTCTTCACCCTCTCCTCTGTCCAGAAGGGGTGGCTCTTGTTACAAGCCTCTTGGCCAGGATTTACTTGAGAAGGAGAGGTTATGAAAGCCTCTTTTCTTTAACAGAGATGGAACTCTGTTAAAGTGTGAACTGAAAACTAGATCTCTGGTTAGGTAAAAGGAGTGTGTGTGGTTTTCAGACAGATTCTTCCTGATTATTTTTCTACACTACAAAATGAAGCAATGGATTTAAAAAATAAAATATAGGCTTAACTGTATTTTACATAAAATTGACACTCTTATTTTGGAGAGAAGTAGGAGCTTTGGATGCATCCTTAGTTTTTCATTCTGTACCATTAAAGTGGCACCTCTGCAAAGGGAATGTTATCACCAGTGTCTAGAAGCTTCTGTTTGAAGACCACATAACCCAAGGACAAATCTGTGCTCTCATCGCCAATCTCACTACATAGAGTCATGAAATCTGTTCAAATCTGTTATTCCTTGTAATTTTTATTACTAGAATGATGAAAAAATTCCTAAAACATATGTTCTACTGACTCAAATGTCTTTATTAAGGAAAGAAAGAGAGCTGCAAGAGTCTCCCAGGAGGCCAAGTTGATATCTTAAGGATAAAGAGACCAAACAGCTCACCTAGAGAGCTAACTTTATGGTACACATTCCATAACTCTCTGGTTAATAAACTACAAGCATAACAAATAATGAATTTTGGTGTTGTTCATGGTAAAAATTGAGCTGAATTAAGCATACATTTTGTATGTGAAATGTACTGTGGTGACTATTACATGCACGTTAACAAACAATGCTGTGTTTTCCAGCATCTATCCAGACCTCAGTCCTAACTCCTCACTGTGCCTACAGCGTCAGCTCCCAAACCTTATTCCTAAAGTACATATTAAGCAGAGCAGTGAACAGGAGTTGAAGATGCTCAGCCCATAGTGGGTTTCCCTCCATTTCTGAAGTTCTGAAACCATGAAAAGGAAAACTTGTGGAAATAGTTTTTTGATATAAAACTTTTGTGGGATCAAAGGACGGAGAGTTGTCCACCATCCTGACGAAAAATATCCCTGTAGCTATTTTGAGAAATACTAAAGTATTCTTTAAAAGTCAACCTAGCTTCCCTTTTTGATAGTCACAAACTTCTACTGCTATAGCCAAACCCATTATCCAATGCCACTTGTAACTTACCTACATGCAATCTGTGGATGGTGAGTAAAGTATATTTGCTTGAAGAAACAATGCACAAATATTCCCCACTATCTGAAGGAGTAAGATCTGTCAAAGTCATAGAGAAGTCACTCTGATTTACCAGCTCTTTGTTCCATGAGAATCGAGGTTCATTAATTATTGTATTTTGTGAGGAGCTCAGATACCAAGCCAAGTCATGGGAAGTCTGACTTTCTACTCTGGACCAAGTGACACTGAAGTCTTGATTTTGTAGAAGAGAACTGATGATAACTTGACATGAAAGTGAAATCTGTTCACTTTGCATTTTGTAAAAGCCATCTAACAACAGAACAGGAAAGGAAATATCAATGAAGATAAAATTGTCAAATGAATTTTCCAAGTTACACTTAGGAAGAAATGAAAATGATTATTGATATCTTTAGAAATACTGTTTTGAACAATGATTAGGTAGTTGTGCTGTAGAGTTTCATAAAAGAAAATACTGGAATGGTTTCAGTTTCCCACCAAAAGTTGGTTTAGGACTTCAAGGAGGACTAAGCCAGGGCCAGCTATGGAGGTAATGCGCCTGGATTTTTAACTCCTGCAACCTGACAGTAGCACTCTGGAATGGTGTTACCTGTTAATATGCTTTTAATTCACAGTTCTTCTAATGACCTTCAAATACTGTTGCTCCTCAGGGCTCCCTTCCTGTTACTCTACATACTCCGCACTGGTCTCTCTTACTTTTATGGTATCAAACACTTCTCTCTATATCCAGATAAAGCCTCTTTTCCTGCACATAAATCATGTACTTCCAATTGTATACAGTACCTGAGCTGTCTTAGAAGAGAGACTCTGCAGGATATTCTCAGCCTGCCCCTGTAGCTCCAGATCCATCTTGTCCTTCCTATTCTATATCTTTCTGTAGGCTGACCTCTATGGTCTTCCATAGTTTATTCTGTCTGGTTCCAGACACACCTACTTTACAGTCTATCCACAGGAGACTGATGCCACATCAAAACTTCTAAAATGAAAATCCAGGATCTCTCTGATGTTTCAAATCCTTCTTTGGTTCTGCCCTATATCCAGAACCCATTTCAATCTCCTTAGAAAAGTGTGGAAGCTCTTTCATCTGTTTTTTGCCTCAACCACTTTCTACTTCCAAAAATCCAGCTAATTTTACTTCTCTGTGATTTTTACCTGCAATGCCTACAGTCTCTGTAGGCCTCCTATAACTTTTAAAATTCTACCAGTATACAAATTCCTTAAGCATATATTCTATAACAACCCCATTCATGCCCAACCATAGTGAACAGAATTAATCACTCCTTTTGTATGCTACATTCCCAGTTTGGATTTATTAATATGTATTTGTCCTAGACGCTGTGGATCCAGAAATAAGTGTGAGTCCCCATTAAGTTGCAATCTGAAAGTGATAAAACTTGTTTTGTAGATCCTTAACAAAACAAAACAGTATTGAGTTGAAGGAAATATTGGTGCTTCAGGATACTCAGTTCTGAGTAATCCTGAGAAATGGCTATTTTCCAAAGAAAATATTTAGAATATTAACATTTTCCACCCTTTCCCATCTTTCTATTGCTGCCTAGTTAATGGCAAATGAGCATCAAGTGACCATGTATTTAACAGTAGAATCAGCCAAAGGTGGTGAATCACTTGCTATTTCTGTATTTTGAGAATGTAAAACCCCGTTGAAGGGAAAGCTAAAAAAGAGTTGACAATCTCTGCTTTTCCATATAAAGGATATTTACAGAAAAGTTTTGCTATGCTTCTAACAAATATAAAACAATCACTTCCCTTGGAATTGGATAGGGAGGTGTCAAATTACATTCTTTTCCATTTGACATTTTCTTAAATAGGTTAGAGGTACAGAGTTTGGGTTTGTTCAAGTAATTAAAAAGGAGGTGGGTAAAAAAACTGATTATCCTGGGATAAAGGTGTTGAGTAAAGATTAATTGACATACTACATAAAGGGGCTAAGCCACAAGCAATAATAATGGTTAAATTTTAGTTAATTTGTTGTATAGTTGGAGAGAATCAGAGGTTGTGATCTGCATAGAGATAAGTATTGTTTTCTTCTCCTCTGACTTTGCACTATAAAGTGTACTGCAGGTAGAAAATCCTGTTTGGAGGAAGGACCACAGAGAAATACAGTAATATGCAAGGATAGATTTGCTGCTTTACATTTCACAGATATTTTCACTCAATTCTTAAACACCTGGATAGACGTGAATTACTTCAATTTTTCAGTGGGGAACTAATGCTTAGAATTAAAAATGACTGCTGGTAATTCAGCCCATAAGGATTAGCACTGCCACAGGAGGATTTTCTTCCTTTCTTTCTTTGTAGATCAATCCCCAGTACCTCCCAGCCTCTGACATAGTACTTGTACACAGAAAGTCCTAAGGAGCCTACCTGCTAGTGTCCATCGTCCTATCCACGTTTGATTCAGCAATGAATTTTCAATAGCACATTCATAAGATGAATTTGATTCTGTAATATTTATTGTACTGTTGATATGAAAAGGACCCAAATATCCAATTTCTTCAGTTTTGCTTTCAGGGACAAAAGTGTTGTCCCTTTTCCATGTGATATGTGGACGAGGATAAACACTTGGCATACTGCATACCAGGAAGCTGCTTGTGTTCCTCTTTTCATACATCATTACGGGTGTGTGAAAAGCTATGCAGGAGAAAAAGGGGACCAAGAAGAACTGTCACCATTAGCTTTTTTTAGGCTATCTGTGCAGAACATTTTTTAATACCTATGAAATGAAAAGTTAAAGTTTTATGAGCAAAACTGGGCAGTTACTGAAAGGAAAAATAAAACAAAACAAAAATGCTATCGAACCTTATCCAGGAAAAAAATTTTAAAAAGAGCATGCATGAGTACACAGCAAATAGCATCTCTAGTCTCTAGAAATATGGCTGACAAATCTAATGGCTTAGTGACCAAGAAAAATGGGGCCAAAATCTATAAACTAGAATTCATGCAGCAATCTGAACTGCTATTTGACTCTTTGTTTACACATAATTATTAGATTTCATAATTACAAAGAAGCTGAATGAGGAAGAAGGAGCAAATGCCAGATAAAACAATTCACTATAAGATACACCACAAAACATATACTATGTATCATAACATTAAGTATTGCGGTATAGAGGCACACTTTGTAGATATCATGAATTCAATTCCAGACCACTGGGATACAGCAAATTATACAATATGGCAAGTCATGTGAAATTTTTGGCTTCCCAGTGCATAAAAAGTTATTTTTCCACTATACCTATAGCCTTTCAAGTGTGCAATAGCATTTGTTTTTGCTTTGCTCTGTTTTGTTTTGTTTTGAGACAGGGTCTTACCATGTAGTCCAAGCTGACCTCAAACTTGTGATCCTTCTGTCTCAAACTCTCAAGTGCTGGGATTATAGGCCTGAGCTACCACAGCCAGCTCTGCAATAGCATTATGTCTAAAACTGTAACATCTTAACTTTAAACTCTTTCTGAACTTGCTGGTAATCATCCGAGTCATCAGTTTGTGGAGGGGCTCACCTCAACATTGACAGCTGCTGACTGAGCAGGGTGGTGGTAATGAAGGACAGGGTGACTGTGGTTATTTCTTAGCATAAGACCACAATCAAGTTGATTCTTCCTTTCAAGAAAAATTTCCCTACAGAACCTGACACTTTTTGCCAGCATTTTAGCCATACTAGAACTTCTTTCAAAATTATAGTCAGTCCTCTCAAAACTGCCACAGCTTTATCAACTCAGTTTCTGTAATACTCTAAATCCTTTGTTGTCACTTCAACCATGTTCACAGCATCTTCACCAGGAATGGAATCCATCTTTAAGAAATCAGGTTTTTTTCTCATGCACAAGAAGCAACTCTCCAACCAGTAAAGTTTTATCATGAAAATGCGGTAATACAGTAACATTTTCAAGCTCCACTTCTAATTCTAGTTCTCTTGCTATATTCATGACATCTGCAGTTACTTCATCCACTGAAGTTTTGGATCCCTCAAAGTCATCCATGAACGTTGGAACCAACTTCTTCCACACCCCTATTAATATTGATATTTTGACCTTTTCTTATGAATCACAAATGCTCTTAATAGCATCTAGAATGGTGGTTCCTTTCCAGAAAGTTTTCAGTTTAATTTTCCCAGAATTACTAGGTATGGCAGCTATAATTTTACACAATGTATTTTTACAAGAAGACTCGTGACTTTAACTTACCCCCTGATCCATGGTCTGCCAAATGGATATTGGGTTAGCAGGCATGAAAATATTAATGTCATAGCACATCTCCATCAGAACTCTTGGGTGACCAGATGAATTGTCAATGAGCAGTAATATTTTGAGATGAATCTTTATATTGTAAGCGGCTCTCAACAGTGTGCTCAAAATATTCATAAACCATGTTGTACACATAAAGTGCCATTCCCCTATTTTTGGTTATTCCATTTGGGGAGCACAGGAAGAGTAGATTTAGTATAATTCTTAGGATAATTCTAGGATCTTTGGAATAATGAATGAGAATTGGCTTCAACTTCAAGTCATTGGCTGCATTTTCCCTAACAAGAGAATCAGCCTGGCCTTTGAAGTTTTGTACCCACACATTGACTTCTTCTCTCTATCTATAAAAGTCTTAATTTCCCTGGAGAACTTTTCCTTCACATTCACAACCAAGCTACCTATTTGACACAGAGGTGAAACTTTTGGCTTGTCTTTGCTTTTGACATGCCTTCCCCACTAATTATTTCTAGCTAAAGAAAGTGATTCCTCGAATTTGAATGCTTGGAGTCCATTGCAGGGTTATTAACTGTTCTAATTTTAAGATTTTTAAGACACAAGGAAGTTGGAGACCCAAGGAGAGAGAGAGAGAGAGAGAAAATGGGATGCCAGTGGGTGGGAATAGTCAAGGTATACATGCAATTTACTGATTAAGTTTAACATCTTATATTCACATGGTTTGCAGCACCCCAAAACAATTACAATAGTAATATCAAAGATTACTGATTAAAAGTTTAAAATATTGTGAGAATTATCAAAATTGTGCCACAGAGACGAAACGTGAGCACATCCTATTAAGAAAAGTGGTGCCATTAGACTTACTTACTGGACTCAGCGTATTTTAACAAATTGCCACAAACCTGCAATTTGTTACAAGCACAATATCTACAAATAATAATTAGGTGAAATGCAACATAAGACAGTGTGCCAGTAATCTGCTAAAATAATGATCAGCAGCCTGACCGTTAACAGACCATCTCATCAAGAATTCTTGTTAGTCTGATTAATTAGAAGTACTCCATCTTTGTGTTTCAATTACTTTCTTTAGTTTTAATTGAACACCTGAACTGATTCAAAATGAGTGATGAGAATTGGGAATAGTTAATATATTAATTAGTTTTAGATATATAGTTACTGCAAAGAGGAAAAAAACATACAATATAAATAATAACCTGATATTTATTATAGAAAAATGTAATTTAAGTTAAAAATTCAATAATTTTAGAGAACATATTGGCAGAAATTATTAGAATTGATAGTATTCAGTACTGATAGGACTAAAGAAAATGGATACTCTTATGCTGCTACCACTACCATAATAAACATTACTCTGGTAATTTTATCCAGATGCTTTCCCAAGATTAAATGTAACTACAAAGATGTTACTACAATGTAATGAAAAACACTAGGAATGCCTGAATATCCACAACCAGTAGAATTGTGTTATCAGTCATACACTGATGCATCATATACAGTGCATTAAAAAATAATGAAGTAGATTTATAGTGAAAGGAAGTAAGTTAGGAAGAGAATGTTTCAGAAATGACATCAAGTGATATCATTAAGTTTTACTAAAATTTACATGCATACTTACCTCCCACCTTTAGCACCACTTTGTTTGTGATATATTTAGTTGTTGTTCCCACATAACAAGTATAAATTCCTTCATCCAGAAGACTTAATCTACTGACAGACAGAGAGGCATTCCCATTGTGAATCTCGCTGTGGAAAAGGGATGTCCTATTTGCATATCTTGGATCTTGTGTTTCCAGGTGGTCTGTGCCTTTGTAATAACTGTGAACATTGTTTTTATCTTTAATGTTCCAGTGAATTACAATTTCAGGCCCACTCTCAAATGAGCAAGGGAGAATTATATCTTCATCACATCTTCCGATAACAATTTTCTCATTCATAATACTAGAGTAACTGAAGCCTGAAAAGAATGTATCTAAAATCAAGAACAGAGATGTTATGAAGAGGATTAGTGATGGTGCTTGTCAAGGATTATATTAGCACTATGTGAAAGAAGATATCTAGCTTAGCAGCCTTATTAACAGATCACATCATCAAGAATCTCAGGCTGTCTGATTATTAGAAACAAGCCATGAAACTCTGTGTTTGAGTTTCTTCCATTTTAACTGAGTATCTGTTTGAGTCAATTTAACTGTGAGAATTGGCAACAAACTAAATTATAGATACACTAGTTTCCTATCTACTTGATCAATAGTCTGTCTCCCTTCCAGTGCTGGCAGAGAGTACTGGAAATTATGTATAAAAGAGTTCTGCTGGTTTTTGTTCCGGAAAAACATTCCCTTTCAATACCTACTATAACAATAAACTCATTTAACTAGCTAGCTAGGGCCAGAACACCCTAAAAGAATGTAGCAAACTCAGCTTGTCTGGATCAGGAGATACTTGGAGCATGTAGAAGGCAATGCTGGTTTCAATAATGTTAGGAATATCTGGATGGATGCTAGTTTCTATCAGGAGAGGACATAGGCAAGGGGAGTCTAAAAGGAAAAATGAAGTGACTTGTTTAATTGGACTTTAGGACCACAGTCAAGATTCCCTATAAGTCAGTCAACACAGATTTAAGGAATATTATTCTGGATAGAAATGTGTAATTCTAATTCTCTTAATTAACTTGGTTTTGATGTTTTATTGTCAGTTTCAGTTTATTTCAAAAAGCAGATGAATTCAACACATTAAGGCTTTTACAAAGAAAATATCCTCGATGTCTTTGAAAATGGTATCCAGATTCTTTGATCAATTCACAACAAATTTTAAGTAAATCTTGTTTTTCTCTTTGAATTGTAAGATGTTAAGATGTGAAAGGGAGGAGAGTAGTTCAAGTGGTAGAGTGTCTGCCTAGCAAGGGTGAGGTCCTGAGTTCAAACCCTAGTACCAAAAAAAAAAAAAAAAAGATGGGAAGGACCTTATTTTATGGACAATGGAGTAAACCTTTGGATCTTCACCAAGGCTACCCAAGATGGAAGAAATGGATGCTCACTTAGCTTTGTGGCTCTGCCACAAAATATTTTTTTTTTGCCTACTCACTCTTCTGGGGCTCTTCCCATCCTGCCACATTCTACCTCTCTTCCTCAAAGATTTAGTTTTTCTGTGGAGAGATAAAGGTATATGATATCATGCTGAGAGAAAGACATACCTTTGCATGGGAAAGAAAAGGAATGACTGCTGTTTATTTTTATTGCTCTACCATACCCCTCTACTATTTCCCTGAATAACTTAAAATGCCTACCATAGAATCTAGCAAAGCTGATAATGCCTTCTTTCAAGTGCTAGGCACCATGCTTCCACTTTAAAAAATCAATCAATCTTGCCTTTCTAGTAATTCTATTTCTAGTAGGAGATAACATATTAGAAAGAGCCTAAACCAGAGTGGACAGGAGAAAAGATGATTTTTAATTTTCACACAGACTTCTAGATTTTGTTTCTTATGAATTGATCATTTATGAAAGTTCACAATACTATGACTATAGATGAAATACACATTGAATTTCCTTATCCAAAAGTTCTTGGAATAAGAAATATTATGGATTTTTTCAGTCACAATATTTACATATACATAATGAGAAAACTTGGGGCTGGGATCCATGTTAAAACAAAAATTCACTTATATTTCACATACATATACACATAGCCTGAAGGTAATTTTATACAGTATTTCTAGTAAGCCTATGTTTGACTACAACATGTTACATGAGGTCAGATGTGGAATTTTTCATTTGTGGGATCATGTCAGCACTTAAAACATTTCAGATTTTGGAGCATTTTGGATCCCAGGTTACAGATGCATGATCTATAGCCAAAGTTCACTTTGTGTTCATATTTCTATCCAATGATATAAATAAGTATTATAAAAGTTACCTTGAAATCCACTGAGAGACAGTAGGAGAGTGGGGCAAAAAAACAGCACTGCCCATACCTTCATGTCTTGTGAAGGTCATATTATTGTGCTGTCAAAGAGAAAAAAGGAATGTATGCTATGGATTTTAAATGCAAAAAAAGAATTGGAAATGAATTACAGTGTCTTTTTTAGGAAATTAAACTATCGTACATTCACACAAATAATTTCTCAGAAGCCATTAAACACGATAAGTTCGAAGTCCAATGACAAGTTCTTAATGTGTTGCAAGACAGAAATAAGACTAAAACTTTTACATGCATGGCCTCCTTCTTTAAAGATACATGTTTTTGCATATAAAACACACACAGGATCTGTCACTAAATATACACTTAGATGTTAGCTCTGAAGAGCAGGTTTCACAACCGGACCAGTGCTTGCTATATGATAGATGCTGAAAAATAGGCATCAAATGAATAAAGATTTTCACTGAATCCACTTTGAGTCTTTAGATAATAGCTGTCATTTATTAAGCTTTCTACAGTAGACATCTATTGCTTTTGTAGTAAAATATACTAAAACTAATTCAATTCAATATTAAGTACAATGATATTAACTTTGGTGTTATTTACAATCACATAAAAAACAGCTGAAACCTGTAAACATATTCATAAATGTCCAGTACTAATGCAAATCATAAGGCAAACATTAAATCCATGGTTGACTAAGAGGTTTTTAACAAACAAAAAAAGAGCAAATACAGATGGCAAAACATATACACAATATAGTTGCAAGTAAAATATAACTGACTTTCTTTGATGAGAGGATAACAGTTAATTTTACTTTTCAAGAGATAACTTGTTTAATAAATAGCATAAAAATTTGTTTTAAAATTGCTAAAAAAATTTAAGGAAATCAGTTGACAGTTCTACAACTCAAAAAACATATTCTAAATTTGGTGTGTGGTATGAGATTTTAGAATGATTAAACTATTCTAAAAAGTAAAATTAGACACCTTCATCATTATATATCCTGGTGAATTAATAATTCATAGTTTCATTTTTACATTATACATTTTAAATTATAGATATATCTACATAAATTGAAAAAGCAACAAAAATAAACATTAAAATATAAATTAGGAAAACATCTGAATATAACAAAGTTATCACTCTAATAGCTTCCATTCCTCTCAGAAAAATAACTAAAGTATTCAGTAAAGTGAGAGATGTTGTAAAATTATCTTAGTTATCAAAATAAGACCTTTATGCAACAAAATTAGAAATAAGGGCAAAATAGTTTCTGCTGGGTATTGAGGGGGAGGGGGAGAGGGAGGGGGCGGGGTGGGTGGTAAGGGAGGGGGTGGGGGCAGGGGGGAGAAATGAACCAAGCCTTGTATGCACATATGAATAATAAAAGAAAAAGGGAAAAAAAATAAATAAATAATAAAAAAAATTTAAAAATTAAAAAAATAAGACCTTTATAGTTCTTCCTAGAGATGAACTTGCATGTGTAATGTATGAAAGAATATGTATTGAACGGGAAGATTATAAGCAGTTGGTAAACTCATATTTCTACTATGAAAACATAAAAACATTGCCTTCATAGACCAAAGAAAAATTAAATTTAATTCCAGCATCTTTCCAAGCAAAAATTAACTAAAATTCACCTTGCTTAAGGGACAGTCCTTATCCACTCTCCTACCATAGGTTCACTTTCCCATGCCCCAGAATGACTCCAGTATTTGCTACCTTCCCCCCTCATTCTCTTTTCTAATCTCCCCTTTAGCTGATAGTAATGTTTTATTTATTAGTTTTGGTTAGTTACAGATGCTCTCTCATTCTCTTACCACCAATTCAATTAACCCATTAACAGCTGTGCCTACTCTTTCTTTGCTCTCCTGCTGCTCTTGGCCAAGGCCAAACCCTTCACTGTGTCCTGAATTCCACACTTTTTAAATTCAAGAAACATGTCTCTGCAATGAAATCATCTCTATACTCTCTACACTCTGTATCTCATCTCTTCAGTAGAACAGTTCCATAAATATAAATAGTCCAATATTGCTCATCTTAAGGACATGAGAGAAAAAAAAATTCCTACATGACATATCCCACACTGCCTATGTCAATCTCACTAAGATCTTCCACATTGCCAAAAACAATGACATCATTTGTAACCAAACTCAACCTCAGGTTAGCATTCAACACAACTGACTGCTCTGCTCTTTTTTTTTTTTGAGGAACAGTACATTCTCCTAGTTTTTCCTTTCTCAATGCTACTCCTCCTTAGTCCTTTATTGTTTCTCCTCTGCTTGCTCTATTTATATGGAAATATGGAATGTTCCCAGGCATTATACATTCTTTATACTCTTGCCTGCACTCTCTATGTGAGTTCCTTTATTCCATGGCTTTGTATTCCAAGGATTCTCAAATTTATCTACATTCAACTGCTCATTTGTGTTGATCTAGAGATATCTCAAAGTCAATACAAGCCTTTAAATTCTGATTCATTCCCTTTTTTCATTGTTCTGTGCCCTACTCCAAACAAAACAGCAAACATTACCATGTTCCTCCTCCATGTTTCATCTTAATAACTGATACTACATTCTTTTAGTTGTTTAAGCCAGAAACTTAACCACGATTCTTCCATCCCTTCAAGCTCCATATCAAATTCATTAACTTGTATTTTATTTGTTCACATCTCTCCAACTCTACTGTCACCATGTTGCTATAAAACCACTATCATCTCTTACATGGATACCTAAAAACAGACGTCTGGCTCATTACCCTTTTTCTACTCTTGCCTCCTTCTAGTGCACTGACAACACCACAATCAAGAGACATATTTTTAAAACACGTAAGTCATTCTATGACATATCTTATTAAATTCCTGCAGTAATTTCCAACCACACTCAGAGTAAGAGCTAAATTCTTAACCCTAACATACCTAGTTTTGCAAACTCTGGCTACTTGCTTCTTCAGCCTTTCCCACGGAGGTCCACAACATGTGTTCCCAAAAATGCGTGAACACAAGTGCTTATGTTCAAGG